CTCTAGGCATGCTCAGTACCATTGCCACTGGTTTGGCTATTGATGCTTACGGTCCCATCAGTGACAATGCTGGTGGTATTGCTGAAATGGCTGGAATGAGCCACCGCATCCGTGAAAGAACTGATGCTCTTGATGCCGCTGGAAACACCACTGCTGCTATTGGAAAGGTAAATGATCTTCCAAACCGACTTTTGTAGTCTGTTGTCTATAATCGTCCCTCGGGTTGCCTTTGCTTGTGTTGTAATATGACATGTAATTCTGATTTGTTGCACACAGGGATTTGCTATTGGCTCTGCTGCGCTAGTGTCATTGGCTCTGTTTGGTGCCTTTGTGAGCCGTGCAGGGATCCACACCGTTGATGTTTTGACCCCTAAGGTTATCATTGGTCTGCTTGTTGGTGCCATGCTTCCTTACTGGTTCTCAGCCATGACAATGAAGAGTGTGGGAAGTGCAGCTCTTAAGATGGTTGAAGAAGTTCGCAGGCAGTTCAACACCATCCCTGGACTCATGGAAGGTACCGCAAAGCCTGACTATGCCACATGTGTCAAGATCTCCACCGATGCTTCCATCAAGGAAATGATTCCTCCTGGTTGCCTTGTCATGCTCACACCTCTCATTGTTGGATTCTTCTTTGGTGTTGAGACCCTCTCTGGTGTTCTTGCCGGTTCTCTTGTTTCTGGTGTTCAGGTATAATCTTTTCTCAATTCTTTTGTGAATCAACTAAACTATTATTAAACATATACTCATCGACGGTTGTTTATTTTTGACAGATTGCCATATCCGCATCTAACACTGGTGGTGCCTGGGACAACGCCAAGAAATACATCGAGGTAAAGGAATATTCTTGAGCTTGAATCAAAACCATTTTTAAGAGACGAAACCAAATTCTTAAGCATTGCGAGTTATTTGCAGGCGGGTGTATCAGACCACGCGAAGAGCCTTGGGCCAAAGGGTTCAGAGCCACACAAGGCAGCTGTTATCGGAGACACGATTGGAGACCCATTGAAGGATACTTCAGGACCTTCGTTGAACATCCTCATCAAGCTCATGGCTGTTGAGTCTCTCGTCTTTGCTCCCTTCTTTGCCACTCACGGTGGTATCCTTTTCAAGTACTTCTAAACTCAACAC